TGGCAGAGTCGGCTGAGCAGGAGTCCCTCGATGCACCCAAAGGCTGCTTTTACACCGGCCCACTCAGCACAGACGAAACAGCTTCTTCCCCGTGTGCCTTCCTGCCACGCCGCCGCCATCGCCTTCTCACCGACCGCAGGCGCTTTCCTGCTGTTTGCATCAACCCAATTTTGCGGAAAGGCTCTCGCAGGTACATCTGAAAGGGCAGTATTTAGGCAACACCTACATGATGAGCACAGAAAACTGAGGGCAGTTGGAAACATTAACCCACACGCTGCTGGTCGGTCCAACTCCTCCCCAGGCTCCACAGCACGGCAGCTCACACAAACTCGAGTGGGCTTCACCCGCTTCAAGGCAAGGCCAGGGAGCTTTGGGTAGAGACCCTTTGGCTGAGGAGGCTGGCAGAGGGGCCAGCGTCGCTCTGAAGGACTCGCGGGGCCACTGCAGAACCGGCGAAGCCCCGCTGAGAGCACCAACCACTACAACTACGCCAAACTCGCGTCCGACCTGTGGCCAGGCAGAGATACCTCAGAAACAGAGCAAAAAGGCTTTGAACACCTCGTAACTACACCACAGCGTAATTGCTTGGTACAGAACGGCTCTGGTTTTGATCAGTTTTATTATTTGAAATCGAGCTCTGTTGTGACAGACACTGAACATACACATGGCGAGCTAGAGCTCTCTCCGCACGGAACACGCTGCACAGGCACACGCTCTGGTTATGCGTACGGTGGGGGACATACCATAACATACCTTCTTCCATGCTAGCAAGAGAGAAAGTATACGCTAATAAATATGCAAGAATGCAAGAAGAAAAATAGAGGTAGGAGGCTGAGAAACGAGAGACGACTAAATACAATTATCGGTCCTGGTTCATTAGCCTATTACCAGACCACCACCACGCTCTGCTGCGCACAGAAAAAGGCCTGCAGACCAGAATGACCAGATTCCTCACTGTGTCAGCTCGGTGCAACAGCGGTTTGGCTACGATTACACGCATCGTAGCTTGTTTTTCATAGTATCCGTCTTCACGGCACATATTCACACGGTTATCTAATACGCTCTCCACTCTTACTCTCAGTCCTGCTTTCCACTGCACAATATCCACGAGCTCGATGTACGGAATTTTTACTTCCATCAGTGGAATGTAGGAAGAGAATATAAAATAGGCCATAAAACCCCACAGTGTTGCTTAGAGACAAAAAAGTCTTGCTCGGGGTGTAGGGCTTTCATTAGAGGGGAGCAGGAAGTGCAAACATGATGTCAGACTTGCAGAGATTATCTGTATAAATTGTGTTATCATTTAGCCCAAACAAAGAGTGAGGAAAGGCCAACCCCTCCCTTTGAAGACGATGAGTCGTTACTAAGTTTGACTTCTAATGAAAGCCATTTTCAGCAGAATGCAAGATACGTACGACGGTTGGTCCAGAAATGAAAATCTGTTGTAACAGCCAGAAGTCAAAGGCAGCTACAAATAGAGACCTTAATCTTTTCAAGAATCCCTTAACGAAGTCTATAAAACTGATTATAACTTCAGGCCTAACTCAAGTGCAAATTCTTACTCAGAAATAAGAAACAGCCCTGCAAGTATAACTTGGAGACCAGCACAGGAACAAAGGTCGAGAATACAGAGTGCTGCTTCGAGTACTAACATTGTGGAACATGAATTACATTGCATTTAGAATAAACAATTAATGAGACGGCAGAAGCCTCGGCCACGCGTCCATTTTTCTGAGAGAGAAACAATTTCCAGAAGCGGTCAGAGCAGGATAAAGAAACACTGCATCATTCCTTTTAACACAACAGAAATGGTCTTTGATTATCTAAAAGCCAATTGCAAAGATCTGTCTTCAAAACCTCCTACTGGAGGTTTAATAGCAAAGAGGTGCAAGTACACTTACCAGCAACACTACAGTAAAGTAGAGACTTTTGTTTTAACAAAATCTATATTTATACGATTACATTTCCTATGGTTGAGGGCAGCTGTAATTAATGGATTTCCCTCCTTCCCCTAATGCAGTCATTTGTCAATTTAAACACAGAATGTCCAATCAATTTTGATGTATTTAGTAAGCAATTTGTCAAAGAGTACTGCATACCAGTTAATATATTAATTCTTGTCATTGGCCCGCTTCTGACAACTGCAGGTCGTCTCCAAAAAATTGGTCCTGACGAGCCAAAACTCTTGCCTGGAATGTGAAGGTGCCCTTTCCAGAGCTAGAGGAGAGAAATCACACCTCGTTTTATTCAATACTTTTGGGGGGCAGTTTTTGGTCTGATTTCAAGCTTGTTTTCAATAACTGCCCACGTTTCAGACATTTCAACTACAGTCCCAAGAAGGGTAAGAAAGAAACATCTAGCACCTGACACCCAGCATTGGAGACCTGAGGACTGTAACACCTCCGGGGCTTTGCAGGATGGACTCTCACGAAAACAAAAGTCTGAAATCTGCTCTGTCAGAAGGAGAGGAGATTCTCACAACTTGTTATTTTTACTCTGAAATGGTCAGGAGCAGGATATCAACCCTGGCATGTTGTGGAATTTAACGTGCAAGTTCCCTTACAAACTGTGAACTTAGAGAAAGGTCCAAATCGCTCACTCCGCACTTTCTCAGCTCTCCGTGACAGCCACAGCCGTGATAAGGTGCTCAGGTAGACACGAATTGCGTACCCTGATCCAGGTTTCTGCAGCAGATGTCACAGATGACCTCAAAGCAATGAAACAGCTGTGCTAATCCACTTACAAATACCCTCGGGAGAAAGGTCTTGGACACTTGTCGTACGAAATATTTCTTCAAACAATGGTTCCTTGTTACTTCCTTATTAGCTGTGGCTAGAACTTGGAGATTCTTTAAAAACGTAAAAAGCTGAACTGTGTGTAAATAACAAAGCGCAGTATTTTTAGAGTATTCTGTCTCACTGGCCTCCTTTACACTTTGCAGAGACTAAGGAAGATTTTGGTGCTGTGTTTTGGCATCAAACCACATAGTTATGAAAACCTGCACAGTACAGCCCTCCAACCAGACCGCCAGACGTTTCATTGTTCTGTCCGTCTGCTGACAGAGGTACTCTGTGCTAAAAAGCACACTGAGTATTTTTCAATGACCCGGGGGGCAAAGGTCACTTATTATAAATGGATAATGAGACCTAATGCAATGTTCTGAGTGTGGACAAAGAAAGGGTCTATCCATACCCCCTTGTGACTTGGTCATTCAGGCTTTTATTTCCCCTGCACACTTAATGGAGCCAAACAATCGGCAGAAATGCTATACAGAAACTGAGAGAAACTGCTGTATTCTGCCTCTGATAGACAGATACAAATAGTGACCCTGAAACGGCGCCAGAACTCCTCTTACCACTAACGTGGCAGACAGCTGTAACATTCACCCTAGCCCCCTATTTAGCCATTTGCCAGCAATTAAACTTACTGACGGAAGCGATAGCGCATCAAACCGGCGGCTTCAGCCAGTGCCAACCCATCACAGCACCACAGGTAAGCAGAGCCACACAACTTCGCTTGTGTGTGTATTTAATAGAGGGAAAGCTAACAGGTGCCTTGGATTCTTTTGTGTGAATCTGGGTTTGACTCCATTTTTTCCGAAGCTCCATTGAGGAGCTGCAGGTAGAATAAACCCAGATGACAAATAAAACTTCAAAGAAGATCAGATATGAACAAACCTCTCTGTTAACGCAAGTTTCGCTATGTTCTCCAGACTCTTTCTTGTCTTTAGAGTTTATTATTCTATTTTTTCTTTACATTCCACTCCCATTTCAATGAGTTCCCATTATGTGAATTAAAACCTGAATTAAAAGGTTTCACTGTAATTCAAATAGTACAAATAATTCGTTTTGTTGGAATTTAACTGCCACTGATTCTTCTTCCACAAAAAAGGCTTCAGCGCAAAACCATTTGAAGTGCACAGCATTTGAACTGGTAATGAATTAGGCAGAGCGAACCACGTCCATCCCAGTGCTGTGTTAGAACTATCTTTCCTCCACATTTTGAGGGAAAAAGGAAGACCCCAACCCTGGAGGTTTCCATGGCATTTTGAGCTCAGGGCACACGCAACAGATGGACAGGTAGAAGCTACAGATCTAACCTGGTGCCGACGTCACATTCAGATACGCTTCCTTTTGGCCCAGATGTCCACTTGCTGTATTTTAAAATGCTCGTGTCACAAAACATAGTGACATCAGCTGCACGGACAACTGAACAGAGGGTCTTGCTTCTCCATGACCACCTCTACATAGGGCCAACGGTTGTAAAACTTCAACTGTTACAGTGCTTTGATCTTGATAAAAACCTCAATGAAGACTAGAGATTTGCTACTCACTGTTAATATTCTTCTTCATTTTGAATGGTCAGAATAAAACGCAACATAATACTCATTTATCTCTAAATATAATATAAAATATCTGGGTTTATACACATGCATATAAAATATCTACAGATACCTTATGCATCTACAGTTGTAGATACAGACAAATGTTTCTGACTACGCACACCGGCTGCCCATGAATGCCGGGCCTGGGTAAGAGCCGGGCCGAGGCAGGTGGGCAGCCATGCCTGGAAGCAAATCCAAGGCTCCCAAGGGAAGCAGCTGTCCGAGCCTCCGCTGGAAGTAGCCCAGCAATCAGGAGTTCCAGGGAAGAGGGAAAACACAGACGCGCTCGCTTGTCACTGAGTATTGAATCCATGAGAGGAAACGGCTAAAAGCACGAGCAGAAATGAGGTGAAGGATCCCTGAAGGCTTCAGGGGGTCTCGCAAGGCCTGCCAAGCCCTCACATTTTGGCTCCGCAGTAGCCTCACAACTTTTTGAGTCATAGTAAAAAGAACGTATCCTCGCTACTCTACCGTTACTAACATCGCCGGTTACGTGAAGCCCTGCTCTGGGGTAGGACGTTGTACTGAAATACACAGTGGTTGAAAAACCAACTCAGAAAGTCACGCTTGGCTTAAAAGGCACATAAGACAAGACAAAAAGTTGTCAGTTACTCACAGCCAGCAAGAAGATACTGGTAGTACTGCACGGCATCTGCAGCCAGGAGCAGTGGATGGTTTGCATTAAATGGTGGTTGGAGTTCATTCCACTGAGGAGTTCTGAGGTAAAACACAAGACTATTAATATTTAAGCTAATACAGAGGAAGTAAATCAGTGTTTCTGTCATCACATGTAATTATCTATACAAGCTCACAAAATGTTTGTAATTATTTAAATTAGCTTGTTCAAACACTGCAAACACACCACAGGCACTTGAGCAGCATGACCAAATTGTGCAGATTGCGAGGCCAAGACAATACTTGTTTGCTGACTGCAGCACGTATTGCGCAAAAAAAAAAAGATGAAGGCAGTTTAGATTAACTTGGGAAATCCATTTAGGACGGCTGTATGTCGTGCTGACGTTATATAAACACGCAACAAAAGATGAGGAACTTTTTTTGTTCTGTTAACTAGCATTGCTTCGCTGCCGTAAAGTCATCGAGCATTTACAAACTGTGAAAATAAAGCTGTGCAAAGTTATGGACTATCGATCCAATTAGAATTTGCAATTCCATTACAACCTACTCATTTCAACAATAATGGTCTAGAAGTCTGTGTTGTAATTTTAATTAGGGTGGGCCATTCCTAAATGGCTTGGTAAATCAAGTATTGATCAATCCAGTCCAGCCATAAGCAGCACTAAGGAATATAGGAGCCAAGAAAAATCAATAGAAAAATATTTTAAAACGTCAAAAGCACTGACAACACTTTCTCATCAATTTTTGTTCACTTTCTTCCACATGTCAGGAATAATTTCTTCAACTGTCTTAAGAAATGCTACCTTCAGCTACTTACAGGATAACTCGCCTAATTCTTTGCAATGCTTCATCGTGGAAGCCTCACTCGTGCCTCATGGCAGAATTTTGTACTTAAACACTATTAAAATAATTGTTTCTAGTCCTTATATAAAAAGCTAAATTACAATCTGATCATTTCAAATCACCAATTGATAAGTATCTCTACCGATCCGCAAACACGTTTATGTAGCTCCATGTCTGCAGAAGTATTTAAACGGTTGGCTCCCTTTCAGACACGTAAGCGCCAACAGAAGTCTACGAAAAGCTAGGCTCGAAAACTTGAAGTGTCTTTAAGATAAACTTTAAGATAAAAATATGGGTGAAAATCACGATGCAGTTAATTCGCTCCTTCCAAAAAAAAGATCATGACTATTTTCTGGACAAAAAAAGAAAAGGAATGAGCTACCTAACCAAAGTCCAGCTGGCTCTTGGGCACGTCATCATTTCCAAAGGTGTGTCATCACTAATCTTGGGAGCAGTGCTGAGCGGACGCGGTTCCAACACATGTTCCACCAGGCTACCGTAACAACTGATAATATACAATGACTCCACCACAAACTGTTTGGATTGATCTGTTGGCAAGAAGAAAATCCTACTGCAACAGCATGGAAGAAACAGAAAAAACATTTACAGAAATAGCAGATCCTTACTCTTTTAGGTCACTTGCCTGTAGATGTCTTTTTCTCACCCACAATGAGAAAATAAAACAGAGAATTTAAATTTAAACGCAAGCCCTATTTTTGCAATATACCAACCTTTTTCTCTTTTCAGACCAGGATTGTTCGCAAACCATGACCTTGATGATCCAAAGACCGCAGCGACACAAAACTCTCCTCCCACAGACTTACTGGGGGAAATCTGTGGTGCTGGTTTGGATTTGCTTCAAGAAAGAACAAAATAAAATTATGAAAGTTAGTTCTCAAAAATTAAAATGTCCCATGCTTAACAGTCACCGTAAGATATCAATCCAGACATGGTGAGTATCTGCATTTCCCAGAAAATTTAGCAGGATTTACAGATGCTTAAGTGTTTCTCAGCAATAGGTCCTAAATTCCCCTTGATCACTGAATTCATTAACTTGAAGAACAGCACTGGCTCATAATGGAGAACTAGTTGGACCATTTAAAAGACCAAATATGGAATATTCACAATGAATAGAAACAAATTCCAAAGTGAATACAAAAATTTATAATTGTTAAGTCCTTTGGGAATGAAAATACCGATTTTGGGTCAGTCATTCTAGGTGGTTGGTATTGTGTTGCATTTTCAGAAGAGACTTACAAATGCTGCTAACGCTAACTACTGATCAGCTCGGCACCATCCTGATGCCACTGAAACCACGACGACACACGTGGTGTGGGCAAAAGGGTAAGAGGGAGCAACGTGCGGAGAGTACAAGGAGCAGAAAGCATACGCTCATGAGCTACGTGTTAAAACAAATCAGTAATCATATCATGTAAAAAGGGACCAAGATGCATTCTCCTTTGAAACTCCACAATCTGCATGTAGCAGATACAGGGGTTTATAATTACGTTTCACTGAAACTTCATTTAGTGTTCCTCCTTACAGGAATGGAACATTCGGCTTTGTATAAACTCAAAGCTATGTTTACAGCATTGCCCATTTCCTCAGCTCATTAAACCAGGATTTCAAGCCTTCCTTAAAGGAAAAGCTGTCTGAGAAGTTTGCCCAGGATTCCTCCTTTTCCATCTTCCCTTTTTTCCATTTTTTAATCAGATTATTTTGTATTTCTTTGTCCTCTCTATTTCACTGCTGCTTTCTCTTGCTGCCTCTCCCTCCTTTTCTTTTGTCTTGTATTAATTTCTTGTTCTACATTCTACCAGCCTGTGATTACACCATCACATTAACTCAAGTCTTTTTTCAGTAACGATCTTCAATTCTGAGAAGCGTGTATGTGCGTACAGGTATGTGCAAACAAATCTTTGCAAGTATCGTGACGGAATTAAGCAGCAGAAAAATATTTTAAAACAGCAGAAAGCAGTTCAAACACTATGCATAATAATAATGGCACTTAATTCATACTACTCTTTGTTTTCTGTTAATGACAAATTATTTGTGTACAGGCAAAGTGGTTCAACAGAATGAACCAATAACGATATTAAAGCAAGAACAGATTATGGATCAACATCATGTAAAAATAACATGAGAAAAGCAAGTTAAACCAAAATGATGCTACAAGCTGGGCTTCTCTAACTTTAGACTCCTGTAGCTGGCTGCAGAAGCCCCGTGTCTGGTCCCTTAGTGCTCAGTCCTGGCCTCACTGAAATAAATGGCAGAACTCACACTGATCTCAAACAACTTTTTTCCTTCCAACAACCAGCTGTAGAAAGTGACACGGGGAAAATACGGCATATGGTTAAGAAACATGGAACCTCCATCAGTCCCGTTAACTTGGAACATCTAAAATTGCCTTCAACTTGAGTGCACCTAGGGCAGCAAACACGTTCGGGGTAGCACTCTGGATATGAGGTCATTATGACACTGGGAGAAAAGACTAATTGTTTGGACTCAAACCGAATTTTCAGCCAGGTTTCTGAAGGGATTTACAGAAAGCGTAACCGAGCTTCTCCAGCCCTTGCACAGTACTACTCTGCCAGTTTTACAGAAGGACCCACTGAAGCACGAAGGGGCTAAGCTACCTGCCATAAATCACACATCGCAAGCCTCTGGTCACAGGTTTCATATGGAAGAAAGAAAAAAAAAAAAAAAGGCTTCTCTAAAGGAATTCCATCACACTGACCAGAGTCAATGGAACGATTCAGACGAAGTTTCATGGACCTAGATCAGTCCTGAAGCTCTCATACATGCAGGAGGAGCTAGACCATCTCAAAAGAGCAATTGCAATTTAGAGTCAGTAACTCTGATATTGAACGACCACAAAGCACTTAATGTCCAACTGTTAAAACTGCAGCTACAGAATACTGGGTCAGAAATCTGTGTTCCAAAAAGTTCCTGACTATAAATGTATCATCTCGTTTGCGGTGGCCCTTGGCGGTCTATATTAGAATATTTAAATTGTTATTAACATATTATGTATTTATCAGCTGTTTGGAAAAATTCAGAATAGATTTCTTTCACTTTGAAGTAGTCATCTGTCACAGAAACAGTATTTTTAACCAGTTCCATAACAAACTGTGCATTGATAACTAATTTTAGCGCTTGCCTTCCAAATATTCATACACTAATACTCCTTCAGAAATTAAAATATAAACGTCTCCACTAATTAAGAGTCTTGTTACTTACTGAGCCATGCTTCAGTCAATAAATGATTGTTTTAATACAGAACAAGACTGTTCAGAAGGACAGTAACTCATCAGCCGATATAATCTACAAGTACAGACATGTTTCGGCCATATTCTCTTCCTCTTATAAACTCTTCAAAAGAGAATCTTTCTATGCTACCCTAATATTCTTAGCATTCTTAATTTTCACTCAGTGCAACCTAAGGTGATGAAAATAATTTAAAATGAGAAATTAAAAATGAGAGCAAATGCTCTTCTCAAGTACAAACTGGAGTAAACTTTCACAGACAGAACCGACTTCAATTTCTTCAAGCCGAAGGGAACCTCGTGCCCTGACAATACGTTTGTGCAGGGTTCTCCACACTCTTAGTCCCAAGACCTAAGCTCAATCAAATACTGATAGAAACCACCTTAGAGGAAATGGTCTGATCTACGTCCTATAGCCATGATGTCTTTATCCATCTTTCAAGGCGTGCATTTAAGTGTTCATTTCCCTTCACGAATGATGGTTTCTAGACAGAAAGAGCAGACCTTGTAAAACACGATTACTCATGTGGTTCAACTTAGTCCTGCTAAAAAATAAAGACACGCAAGCAAACAAAAGAAGAACTAGCGCATCGTATTTGTTTAAACAAATTGAAAAAATTGCCGGGATGTCAACAAGTCTATTCTGAAAACCATTGTAACTAAGGGATCTTTCATTTTACCACAATTTTACTTTATCCCTGAGTTTTCACCAAGACATTCCAACTCAAACGTCTTTCCTTCAGCAAACCTCAAAAGTCCAGTTATTTTCTGTAACAGTAATGCCGTTAGAAAAATACATTTTCACATCACTGTGATATTTTAACAACTCAGAAACTATAAATCCTCATTATTATGTAGATGCAAACATCCTCTCAGCTATGTAAACGGTAACAAAACAGTCATGCTGAAGGTAGGTGTCGAATGACTTGTTACTGCTCCGAACTCCTGCTCTTTATGTGCTCCTGACGGCACTCCATAAATCACTCCAAGGACTAAAATGAAGGCACATTTGGCCTCCCTTTTAAAAATACTTAATTTAAGAGAATCCTCACAATACACTAACTTTCCAAGGATCGTACTGCGATGCAGGAAGAAGTGCAGGTTGTTGGGAATCGACACCAAAACCAAGCAAGTGAAGCAAAGGGGACCAGCACATCCACACTTGCCATTTCCATCTTCCCCGTTAGGGACAACACGACTACAGTTAAGACACGAGGAGGAGAAAAAGGCCGTGTGTGTACTTCTTCCTGCCTGGGTCTACCCCCAGCTGTACCTGTGCAGAGACCTAAAGCAGGAGTACAACGGTAGTAAAGAAAACCTTGAAATTTCGTAGTTTCTTGTTCTGATATAAATCTAGTAAGAGCTGTGCCTCAGCTGAAGACCACATTCGTGTCACTCCTGTTACCTCCAGTTCACATTCACCAAACCAGTGAATGTCAAAGACAAAGCCACCTACTCAAGGTCAAGTCAATCCCAACCTCCAGCTAAAGTCCATAATATTTGGAGACACTGTTGGTGTTGACAATAATTAACTTTTCTATCATAATTTGGGAGTACTATTTCCATTTTAAATGGAGAAGCACTGAGATGTGGGTGCATACGTGTCCAACGAAAGCCACACATGAACATTTTCTACTGAAATGGCACAAAAAGTGACAGGAGCAAATTAAAGAGGAAAACTGGGACATCACTTTATCAGCTCTTAGAAAGAAATGTAGAGACTTAGCAAGAGCATGCAAGTTTTCTCATGGTGACAATGCACTAAGAAAAGATTAAGAGCTACTGAAACAATTCAGTGCTACCACTTGTTGACTTTTACAATGAATTAAACTCTGCTATAATCTCTGGAAATGTATTGTTCTAGCTCCTCATAAAAATCACAACTCATGACAATATTTTAACTAGTTTATATTTTTTATTATTTTCCTACTTTATGTAAGAAAGGATTAATAAGAATTAATACTATTAAAATATTTGTGAAAAGCATAGGCAACTATGAAAACCAGAGGCTACGTGGCACAATATGAACGTTTGAGCCCAACGAATAGGCTCAATCACATCAGATTCATGAAAACACAAGCACTTACGCACAACCCCACAGCTGAGCCCACTGAAACAGAAACATACATGATTTCTGAAGGTAAAAGTTTTATCTAGACTATAGAAGCAGCAACAAAAGTATCAGGAAAAAAATACTGCATGAAATTTGCAATTACACGTAAAATTACTGAAACAGTGTATCTGTCTCACATACGTTTTAATTAAGTTATCATTGTGCCCAAAACACAAAACCAAAGAAAGCCATGTTTCCAGTTTTCAAATCATGAACAAAGCAAGAAAAAGCAAGAAAATAAATGGTAGGCTCCTTTATTCGCCAGGCAGTAAGCTGTCAAATCTCTGTTCACTTTGTTTACATAATTTTAGGTCTCATTAAGACCTTAATGGAAACAACATGATTTTTTCCCCCCACCCAAAGCGTGTTTTTTATCCTAATTTCTCTGTAGGCTAGTGAAGACCATATTTTTGAGCTAGCACTGGCATTAAACAAACCACAGAAGAGTCTTGTGAAAGACAGGCAACAATTTCAGAG